ATTTATTATTTTTGTTATTTATCCAAAAAATTCCGCAAAGTTATGAGTTTTTCGGCTTTGGCGCCCTAATTTGACCTGTTCTAGAACACACTTTTGAAAAAGATCTCGACTTTTATCTAAAATAGTTTTGCTTGCGAGCACGAAAAATTTCCGAAAATTGTGTGTAGCATTTTTAGAGAATCATTAGCTCAAATTTCTACTACTGCCGTGAACGGAGCCCTTTTTTACAAAATGAGTATAGGCAATGAAGCGCAAGAGCCGGTAGTGTAATAAGTAAAATAAAAAATGATTCGAAAAATGCGAAAGCAATGAAAAAGAAAGATTCAGTTTCCATCCGATCAGTATTATTTGCAAAAAGGAGCTCCGCTCTCGACAATATTTGATAACTTCAGACTTAATTTGCGTACAAGCAATAAGTTTATAAAGGTTCAGATTTTCCATTCCAAATTTTCTTCGAAATAATTTTGGCTCGGTAATCGATGCTTGTTACTGATTTGCTGTGTTACCAGTATTACTTCAGACATCAGTAATTTAATTCAATAAAAACACAGCAATGAGTGGAAATCAATACTAAGCTTTCTCGGCCAATAAATTTAAAAAAATTTGGGATGGAGAGTTTTAATAAAGGTTTTTCTTTGAGTTTTCCTTTTTTTGCTGTATTAGTTCATAATTAAGCTACTTTCTTGCTCATTATTGTGTTTATGCCAAATGATGCTTTCTGTGCTTGTGACATTTGCTATTTATAAGAAACTGTGGTTGTATGGTTATCGTCTTGCTGTGGAGGTAACTAGCCGGTTAATTACACTAATCCTTAGGTGCCTTTGGCTCTACAGAAAAACGCTCATGTTAAAGCCAAAAATTCTCCTCTATTCGTCCTCCATCAGAGGACAATCATCCGGGAGGCAGCCCAAGTAGTAGCATGTGCCAATAGCAACCACTCGCTGGCAAGTCTGTTGAGGGCACTATCTTAGTGCCTCTTGCCATTATGCCATGCTCGCACTGAAACTTGCAACCAGGCAGAACGAAGAATTAACGCAAATGTCACAGCATAAGAAAAATTTGATGCATTTTTGTAAATTAACACTGAAAAGTTATCTACAATCACATGCGCTCGCACGAAGATTTTTTTTTTGGACCCCAAAAATATGGAATTAAGCTCACTATTGTGTAACATTTGTAATTCTATGTTCTTAATGGCAAAGCGATTTTTCGGGTACATGGGAAAATTTCCGTTAAAAACAGCCCCTGTAAGTTTTTGTTGTCAGTTTTATGAATAAAAACTTGCCAAATCGAGCAGCATTTGATTGTATATTTTTAAATAAGCCTGTGTAGTATTTTCCAAAAAGCTCTTTTTTTGTTAAAAATTATGAAATTATGATTTTCTTACTAAATTTTTGTTTTATGATTAATGAAAGAGGAGGTTGGGAGAAAAGCGGGATGAGGGAAGGGTTGCACAGGAGAGGAACAGGGGAGAGCGGGGAAAGGGCGAAGAGAGTGTGGAACAAGAGTTTCCGTGGAATTTTACAGCACATGCACAATAACTATTTTATTATGTAATCATTTATCAAAGCAAATTCTTGACAAGTCGATTTCGGAAAATAGGCAAATTCCGCATTGTGCCCTTAATTTCGAGGCAATTTTTTGATTATACCCGTAATTTTGTAACCTTTCAAATCATAAATTTTAATTTTCCTTCTATTTTTCATCATCTTATTCAAAAATTATTACAATTTTTGTCGATCCTGCTGACCCTTTCTCTCCCTCATCTCCTGTTTTTTTCCAAGAAAAATTTCAAATTCATTTTTTAAATTGATTTTTCCGAGAAATAGATGATGAGTATTTATTTCACTTTTTTCTGTGAATTATTACTAGTTTTGTCCACTTGTAAATTTGCCTACGAAAAACTTGAAATTTGACCTCTGTTTACAGCGGCCGTAAAAGAATAATCAACTTATCCAAAACTTATTACATTTTATAACCGTTTAAGAAGTACTTCTGTGAATTTTCACGCTTATTTTAGAACAAATGCCATCCTTAATATCTCTAACTAGTAGCATCTTGCATTGCCCGGTTTTTTCTGCCTGCCACTGGCAATTTCTTTCAGTAATAAACATTGAACCCTTCTTATTTTCACTTCACCCACTGTAGCGTCAACTTAAAAACAAAACCTTTTTCGTTTTCACTGTGAGAGGCAGAGGCACTCGAAAAATAGTTTTAGTGACAACAGCAACCACTCGTTGGCAGGGTCGACCGATTTTCGAAATGTCTATTGCGTGTGAAGTAGTAGTATTTGTGGGCAAAGCATATAAAATGTAATCTTCTACGGAAATGTCTAGAAATAAAATTTAAAAGGTATTAATACCCTGACCCTCAGTCTCTCTACGTCCCAAATTTTGGTTCTCTTCTTCACTCTGTCTGATCTCGTAGCCTTTTTTTCCTCATACAAAACCATCATCACTTTCCTATTTTTCACTCAGTTCGCTTTTCTTTTCCTTATATTAGTTTAAAAATTTTTTCAGATCCAAAAAATTTTTTCTTTAAAAAAATAATAATTTTGATGCGCAATTAACACGTTTAACGTTACCATGCCGCAGAAAATGAGTTTCTTTTTTTTGTAAAAATGAAATTGGAAAAAAAATTGCCTTTCCAATTATTCAGTCTCTCAGAAGCAAATTGGAGGTAAGCTTTCTCTAACTCCAAGGATTCTGGCAGTTTTATTTTCACAGTAAGGTATCTCTTCCTTACTAAGTGGCCTCGTTGCTGTGGTCAGTTTGAGGTCAGCATTCAGCATTTTTAATGCCCTGTTTGTGAAAAATATCGAATTCGAACCGTGAATGTTGCATAAACTGAACAGCAGCATAGCCCATTCCCGGGCAAACAATTTAATCAGGTACACAAAGTACATATTTTAAAAATTTGATCAGCTATTGTTTATCACCATGTTTCCTTTCGCCACCGATGCAGCTGGCAATTTCTCCACTCTTCTCAACTTTGAGCAGCTCACAACCCCAAAATTCCAAAAAGCTGCTCAAACGGCTCATTCCATCGCGTTAACAGTCTTCCTTGGGTTCTTCTAACAAATTTTTGCATGAATAAAATGCAAAAAAAACTCCCTATATCTGTTCCAGTGTACATAGTACGCCTATAATTTAGTTCTAACTCAGTTCATAAAAATAAGTTTAATGATATCCGGCTTAAACAATAAAATAGCTGTCTTTTGGCGCTCTTCTATTGTGTCAAGTAGTATGGTATTTTCTTTGTAATTTTTTTGCATTACAGCACTTTTTCGCAAAGTTATTACGGTGCGCTAGAAAGTGGCCGAGCTTTCAGATCACAGTTTTAAAAGTGATGCTGTATGAAACTAAAATGGCACCAAAACCTTTATACTTTTGATAATTCGCAATCATACGATCAAGGTGATTCACAAAATTGCAAGATGAGCTTGTCAAGACAATGAAAAACGAAGACTGCTAAAATTTGAGTTTCACTCGCGAATTTTTTTTTTTTGAATGTCACCAAAATGTGCCTTGTAATTCGATGTGCAATATCTCGTTTTGATGCAGTTCATATTTGTGTTTATTTCTGAATCCTTAGATATTTTAGTTGTTGCTTGGCAACTGCATAAATCGCTATTTCTGGTGCATTTTGTAGCGCATGATGAATGTAACAATTTTATTTGAAAAAAACAGCAACAGAAAATGTTCTTTAAAAGTATGGATTTTCTTTGAACGCGCACTATGACTGATGATTAGGGACACGGGGTAGCCTGAGTAGTACCAAGTGCCAACAACATCTACACACTGGCAAGGATGCCTATAACTTTCTTTTTTTTGAGGGCTTCACAGAAAGAAACTGATGGCGGATTTGACTCCCTGACATATGCAGAATATATTATTGAAACAAATGACCGATTCGTAAAGGAACTGTTCCTACCTCTTCTCCTTCCCCCCCCCCCCCCCCCCCCCCCCCCCCCCCCCCCCCCCCCCCCCCCCCCCCCCCCCCC